CGGAAAAGTTGGATCGCGTCCCAGAAGGGGACTGGTTCTGTCCGTTCTGCACGAAAAAACCCGAATTCGAGCCGTCGGTTCATGATGCGCCAAACGAAGGTGTGATCGATGCACAAGAAGCTGCACTCAGCGGCATGCAAGAATTCAGCAGTTGTGCTTTAAAATCTCCACAATATCCAGGATCACTTTCAGATGAAGCTGGTTCAGAAAATAGCACAAAGACGACGCTGACAACAGAAAGCAGTGTGGTCAGTTTCGACTCGACTTACACAGCTCCCGATGAGGAGAATTATGATGCGGCATATCAAGAAGTGAATAGCGACGATGATTTCGCACCCTTGCACAATACGTCTTCAGAAGCTGGCGACACCAATGAAGATGAATCCACTGACAGCATGATGGAAACAGCTTCCATAGATGAGTTACTCGACGATCCCGAATGCGAAAGTATCAGTATATTAAGTCATGCAGCCCACTAGAGTTACTACAGAAACCGATTGATTATTGTGGGTCTGACGAACCGTTTTGTGTGAAATTGAAGGAGAGAGGAGAGGAGAAGGAGGCGGGGAGGGGGGGGGAGGGGAGGGGGAATTGAGGTAAACAGCGCTAGTAACAAAAACGCAACTAATGCACGAAAATTGTTAGCTGTCATCATGAACTGCTAGGTGAACAACACATGCGACAAGGTGAGCAACAGCGCCACGCACTAGATTAGCACACTGCGTGGCGCTTTTTTCAAGCAAAGCATAGCAATATTTTCCATTATATAACAGTCCAGATGCCCTATCATAAAGCATCTCCAAGCGAAAACGAATTTACCTCTCTCATCAGACCGATAAAGATTGCGCTAAACTAGTTGCACGCAAGTAGTTTTGTAGCTGTGTAGGAACTCATCGAAAATAAAACAAATAGTTGTTCTATAGCGATCTTGCATTCTGCAGTACCACAACAGCCAAATTTGTTTATTACAGTTTCTTTTTGCAAACTTGATTTACCTAAGAATTTTTTAGTAAGCGATTTGGAATCATCAGATACTGAGGACAGCGCTCCTGCCAATGTGCAAATAAGAAGAAAGAAGATAACGACGATAAGGACAATCAAGCGTAAGCTGATAAAGCGCAGCCAGTAATTCATGGAAAAATGACAACTCAGACAGATTAGGTTGCCACCAGACACTTATTCAGATCTCGCTTTAAAAACATGTCAAAAGTGCGGCAAGGAAGAAAATACAAGAAACCGCCACCAAATGCCGGCCAGTTGTGGCCCGATGCTAACCCATCTGATATGATTGTACTGTATTTGTCAGTAAAAATGACCCCACTAATTCAACCGTTAAATAAAATTAGAACTTCGGTAACGACGCACCAGACGTCTCGGTGCCAACACGCATTTTTACATGATTCCATCCCGCCTGTACAGAGACCACCGATACTTCCTAGCCTCGCTGATTCTCGAGTTGAAAGTGGTTGACAAAATACGAATACACACAATCTCTTGTCAATTTGCGCTTTTGCATTTACATAAATATGAGAAAAAGCATTAAATGAATGGATGAAGAGAACTGGGAAAACATACGCCAGATCCAACAGTATTGCCATTGAACGAATTCACTGCTTGCCCGGAAACAAATGTAAGCGTAGTTAAAAACCTGGAATTTTCGGACTAAGCAACCAAAAATCGGTGGATTTCATAAAAAAGTTATGACGCTTTAAAATACTTATCTTGAGCTGTGATGTGTTTTTTTTTTTCTGAACAAGATCTGACGGCCTGTTAAAAGGATGGTTCCCTCTTCCTTCTCATTTAAAATTACATTTACATTTGCTCTGTATTCATCGTAAAGCAGATCTGTCAATGTAGTCTCGACACACACACACACACACACACACACACACACACACACACACAGACAAGCTCCGTTATGGCCGAAAAACACGTCTGTTTTGGGTGTCTCAAAACCCTGTCTCAAAACCTAGTAACATTAAATGTGTCTAATTTTATAATTTAGTGTGAAGAAAGCTATGAGCTGGCCGTCTTTGTGGCTTAGTCAGATGGACAGTAAGAGTCGGGCCACTGGAAACCAGTTTCTTGTTTTCCTTTTTCCGTGACTGTGATGCGAAACTTGAACTCATTAAAAAGCACTTGTTCAGAATGGATAAATTAAAGCATTTCAAATTTTGAAACTAGGCTTAATTCCCGAGTCAAGGCAGTTCACTTGAAATCAACTTTTAAATTCAGTTTTTTAAAATCAAATTGTAAAGTCAAATTAGTTTCGAATGTTTGAACTTATAATTTCATGCAGAAGCAAACGCCTGTAATTTTTGTTTGTCCCGACTACCGAATTTGACCGTAAGATCAGTGCACTGTAAAGAGGTCGCTTTCCGCGAGCATTGTGCATCTGTAAACATATCGACCTCCCTGAGATCCTTCACGTCTCGACTATCTCTCGGCCAGTGCGGATAACTGTGGGGAATTAATGAAAAAACTCCTTTCCTAGCTGTTATCCAGAAAGAAGGCAGTGATGAAATAAGCTTGAATAGCTCCTGTCATTACTGAGTGATGTCAGACTGAATAAGCAGTGCCCAGGACTTTTTTTGCCAAGAAACTCGAATCTTCAATCTACTCGGATCATAAGGTGAATGCCATGCTCAGTTTAGCAGTTCATGAGGCCGCTCTTTAATAGATAAACCCTACACACACGCCTCAGTACTTTTCCGTATAAATGCCACTTTTGTTGAAAAAGGAAAACTTACACTAGGAGAAACTGAATCATCTTGGCACGCCGCGGTCCAAAATACGTCTTTTCAGCCCTGAAAGAGTACCAGTTACTTCGCGAAAGATTTTCCGGCCTGGTTCGTTCGGAAAAGCGAAATTGAAGGCTCAAGGCACAAAAGCAACTGCCTTATTTTTTCCGCCACTGCCGAGAAAAGCGGTTCAGATGGTTGTAAAGTATTGTGGTGAAAGTGATAGAAAAAGGGGTGAAGTAACGTCCAAACAAGAACGGTAACGTGTCCTAAGGTTTCTGGGCGACTATAAGCTTTGTGCTAATCTCGAAGAAGTCAGATCGTCAACAGTATGAATGGTTGTTCTTTTATAGATGAATATGTGCGCTCATGTTGATAGTGTTTTCGGTCTTTTCCTGCATATAGGGAAAGGAAGTGTCGGTTAGGAAACGGTGTTACATTGTGGGCCCCGTAAAGTCTCAACTACCAACATTATCTTGAAAAGACTTTGGAACGTATCCCGCCAAAAAAATTAGCATATTTTTACGGGTCCGTACACGAAATCTAGGAGCGCATGGGCGAAGATTTTACCTAGGCTGGAACGCATCGGGCAGGCGTTTTTGCACCGGTTTTGCAGCACTCCACGATTTCGCACCTTCAGGTTCGTCGCATTCGTACATGATCAGAAGGCATTTATGAAAACTGATCTTGCGTTACTAACGACGCACACGACATACCAGCATTCTCGTAAAATTCCTGATTTCCCGCCTGTCTGACTTCTAAGCAAGAACAGTGACGCAAGTGTTACAACACGAATACTTGACCTGCCCGGGCGCGGAGCAAATGCGTATGCGAAAGTTCATCCCAGAAACTGCGGCTTCCTATTCAGTCGGATTGCAGAGTTAAAAAGAGAAGGTAAAATTTTTCAAATTGAAATTTGCCTGTGCTTGGCGTGAAAGCTGGGCGTGCTTCAAAGCTGAATTTAGAATCTTTAAAACGCACACGGGCAGATGTCTTCGTAAAATTTCAAAATTCTAGCTTTTCGGTTCCCGAAATTGATTCTTTGATGCAAACGTTTCCGACCCACATTTATGCACGAAGCGGGTGCAATCTAAAACTTAATTGGTTTTATGAGCTCTCACGTGAGGAGTGAATATTTCCACAATTTGGTAAAGTTAGCTTCTAGAGTCAAGGCAGCATTTGTCCAGACGAGTTCAGGCGACACGAATAATCTATTTATGGAAATCAATTTATTTTGAAAAAATGTTATCTAAAAACTTTGATTAGATTATACAACCGCAACTTGCTTTTAACCCCCGATCGTTACATTCACTTTAAGAAAGCATGCTTAGTAGCTCAGGCGGGTTCAAGCAGAACAGCCGCAATAACTCTTACCGTATGATATCACTGCTATATTTTTTTAAAAATCATCTTATTTTTACCTAAATCCAGACATATACCCTTTTGCGAGTACATAAGGGAACGGAGACTTTTTAATGAAGAAAGCTGGAGGCAGTAATAATAGTGCAACATTCTGAAACAAAAAGAATAGAGGGTGAAAAGTTATTGACATTCAGGTGATCGTCTTTCCAGTTTTGGAAGGGGAGAGAGATGGAAGGAGGAAACGTATCAGTGGCAAACGACAGTTGCTTTTTTGCTCAGGGACATCTCGATTCTTGTAACCATCGGTGCTTTTCAGCTGTCGAATATTTTTTGCTCGTCAAAATGAACACTGAAAACTA